TTCGTAGAGAACGAGGGGAGGTAAAGGCCCGACAGCGTGCCAGACGGGACAGCAGGACAAGGGAGGGCAGTGGTGGAGGTCGCAAGGACCGGACCCCCGGAGGGGTCAGCCAGGGAGACAGCAACCGGTCTAGGAAGCTGCTCCAGGGCAGTGCGGTCGCGAAAGAAACAGCGGGAAGCACCTGCGTCCAGTGTAAAGGTGTGCAGTGCCTCAGTAGACGCTGGACCAGCAGACGCAGACGCACTAGCACCTAGAGCAGCAGCCTCACCAGGGCCTAGAGCAGCAGACGCACTAGCACCTAGAGCTGCAGCCTCACTGGTCCCAATACCCGGGTCGGGCGGTACACGCAGGTAACAGTCACCCTCAACACTAATAGTCAATGCATACATGGCACCAAGGATAGCATCATAATCAAGAGCAAAGATATTAATTCCCTTCTTAAGCAGATCAGCCCAGCGGGGGAGCTCAGAGGCGTCAGGGAACTGCTCGCGCCAGGCGTCGTCGAGACGGGAGAAGCAGTGGTGTGCCGTGTGGAACCTCCCACAGGTCTGACCAGTGCGGTCACCTGTGCGGATGACGTACGGGCAGGTACCACCACCCCTAGACCCCCCACGCTGAGAGTACCACTCACGGAGCTGCTGAGGCGACTGGGTCTCGCCGGGACGCTGCTGCTGCTGCCTCTGGCCACCACCGAACCCGCCACGCTGCACCGCTCCACCGCGCCCTCCACCAGCTCCACTGCCGCCACCACCACCCCCGCCGCCCCCACTACCGCCGCCGCCACCACCCCCGGCTCCGCCACTGCCCCCCCCACCACCAGCACCACTGCCACCACCGCCACCACCCCCGCCCCCTCCACCCCCTCCACCACCGCCGCCCCCGCCGCCACCTCCGCCGCCCCTGCCCCCCCTGCCCCTGCCGCCCTTGCGCCTCCCACTGGGAGCAGACGCTTCCCCGACCCCCTCAGCACCAAGGAAGTCGACAGCAGCAGCAGATGCAATGGAGGGGAGGAGGGGGGAGGGGGAGCATCCCTCAAAGAAGGGAGTGCGAGGGTCGCCACGAGAGGCTCCTACAGCTACAATGCTCTTCTCAGCTGCAAGGAGTTCCTTCTCGAGCAGGTCGACAGTGAGGTCTGTGGGGGAGAGAGCGAGAAAGTGGTCCCTGACAGCGCGTAGAGAGTCAGGGAGGCGAGTGACTAGATGGTAGAGGGTGAGGTACATCGGGGGAGGGTTCTTGGCGAGGAAGTCGGGGGGAAGTGCGGCACGGTAGCGGAGATCACTAGTACGGAGGTGAGTGATCAGATCAGCTACGGTGGCAAAGGCAGAGAGATCAGGGAAGAGGTAAGGCAGCGAGAGACGGCGTATCGCAGCAGTAGCAGGGGAGGAGTAGCGTGCAACGACAGCATCGTACAGCTCCTTGGCGGTCTTATGCTGGCCGAAATGCTCGCGCTCATCTAACGGCAGGTGGCTGCGAACGGCTAGGCGAGCATGAGCGTCACGGGTCTGCCACTGTGAGCGAGCAGTGCTGTCAGCAGTAGCAGCAGGTGCGGGAGCAGCGCCGGACGTGTGGTCATAGAGGGAAACATCGTCCTTGGCACTGATCTGGAGGTACAGGTGAAGGTCATCGAGCCAGACATCGAACTTAATCGGACGGCCCTCAGCGTCAAAGGTGAGAACCGTAGGAGTGGCCATAGTGGCAGTAGCAGTGGCGGCAGTAGCAGTAGTAGTAGTAGCAGTAGCAGCAGTAGCAGTAGCAGGAACAGGAGCAGTAGTTGCAGTAGGTGGGGCGGCGCGGCTCGGTCAGGGCGGCGCGATTCGGGCGGCGCAACTCGGGCGGCGCGGCTTGGGCAGGGCGGCGCGGCGTGGCTCAGCCTAGGCTATGCGGCACGGCGCGACGATGGGCCTGCGCGTGGGCGGCTGTAGCAGGCGGTCCGCGGCTGTGCGTGGGCTGCAGTCGCGCGCGGGCGGCGGCGTACTAGGGCGACGCGGCGACCTACGGGCGGGGCTGCGGGCCACTAGCGGGCTACGCGCGGCCAGGAGGGCCGGTCGACGGGCGGCTAGCGGGCTGCTCGTGGCGGCGTGGGCGGCTAACGGTCGGCGCGCGCACAAAAAACGGCCGCGCGTGGGCTGCTTGCGGGCGACGCGCGCTAAAAAAAAAAGGCCGCGCGCGGCACTAGCGAGCTGCGCACGGGCAGCAGGAGAAGGAGAGGCGCACGAGGGCGCACTAGGAGAGAGGCGCTCGAGGGCGCTAAGTCGATACGGCGCTCGAGGGCGCTTCTAACGGTGGGCCCTTAGGTAAGTCCTAGGTCTAGAACCTAAGCTCTTAATACCATGTCAGAAACAAGAAGTGGTTGAACTAAGAAAATTGGGAGTACAAGTATGAAACCCTAAAGTTCTGTACCCCCTAAAGGCTAACCCACTGTAGCCTACACAACAACAACATATATAATGTTTGACAGCATGCCACGTAGCAGCTTGCGCATGGTGTTCTGGAGGGTCCTGTTCATTCTTTCTGCCACGCCTTGCTATTGATGAGCGTAGGGAAGGGAGATGAGTCGCTTGATGCCTCTCTCTGCCAAGTACTGCTTGAACCTTTGTGACTGATATTCTCCTCCCCCGTCTGACTGGAAGCTTTTCAGCTTCACTCCTGATTCTCGTTATGCTACTGGAAGCCAGGCGACGAAGATCACGGGTGTTCTTCGCCGCCTTCCTACCACGAGCGTCTCGACCTGACATAGCGGATTTTTTTATGACGCGCCGGACTCTCGACTATCACGTAAGTACGGGGTATTGAACTCTAGGGCCGTTATGGAACTAAGACCTACCCTTCTAGTGTCGTGACTAATTGATCGCAAACCCTAAGATGGCTAAAATGGCCGTGTTTAAAAGGGCTGGTTTAATTTTTCCATCTCTCTCGGTCCAATATTGTACGTCGTTCGTAAATTAGGGGTAACAATATTTCGCCTGCGAGCTATTACTGCTACGAGGGTTGTTTTCCGCGACCTGCGCAAGTTGTTGAAGCTGGGATCGTTATGTTTGCGTAGTAACAGCGAACCAGGAAACCCCACTTGGGCGAACCTCTCAAATCTGAAACGCGCACGTTTTATGCCTGTCAAATAAGCTCGGATGCATATGCCGCTCATATGCACGGACCAATCAAATGCAAGCCGGAATTGACCGGTCATATACACGTGCAATTTGACCAGGCATACGCGCGTCTGCTATGACCGGTCATATGCACGCGTTTTATGCCCGATCATATTCCAGCGAAATGGATGCGGTATATGACCGGCAAGATGCGCGTGCAATTAGACCAGTCAAATGCTCGTGTGCTATGTCCGGTCATATGCGCGCGTTTAATGGCCGGTAATATAAGGTTGTACCTTGCCACATCGCTCGCTATGTACACTAGATTTAAATGTGTTTCATATAAACCGGATTTTGTGATTCCTTTTTTTTTATAGCTACAATGTTACAACCCGCAAATGCTTTATATTTTGGTCTACAACAGCCTTGCAAGGTGGTCTCCACACAGCACGGCAAGAGTGCGAATGTATACAAACCACTTGACATAGCACTTCTGACTATTCATCCTATTATATTACATTGAAGGGTTCCTCATCCTAAATGCGTGTATGTTGCTAACTCGTATTAGTGTCAGCAAACCCTTTGGATCATTGTGCTATGTATGAGTTACGTATACGGTCAACTAATATTGGTCACTCCGACATGTATGAGTCTTGCTAGCATATGTTGTTTCACTCCTGATTTGCAACGCTTGTACAACGTTAACACAAGGAGGATCCATTTTGTCAGAACATTATATAGCTTATGCTGTTGTGTAGGCTATAGTGGGGTATCCCATAGGGGGTACAACCCAATTAGGGTTTTCCATATGTACTCACCTCATTCATAGTTCATCCATCCTCGTTCTTCATTCTTCTCATGGTATCGAGCAGGTTCCCTCGTGGGAACTGTTCCTAGGGCCCACCGTTTTTTTTTTTTTCCTGCCCGGAGCGCACTCTGCCCCTACCCGAGTCGCGCTCCCCTCTCTCTTGGCCCCTAGTGGCCCCTTTAGCCGCCCGTCACGGCCCTTAGACGCCCGCGCGCCGCCTGTCCCGGCCCCTTAGACGCCCGCGCGCCGCCCGTCCCGGCCCCTAGACGCCCGTGCGCCACCCGGCCCGGCCCCTAGACGCCCGCGCGCCGCCCGTCCCGGCCCCTAGACGCCCGCGCGCCGCCCGTCCCGGCCCCTAGACGCCCGCGCGCCGCCCGTCCCGGCCCCTAGACGCCCGCGCGCCGCCCGTCCCGGCCCCTAGACGCCCGCGCGCCGCCCGTCCCGGCCCCTAGACGCCCGCGCGCCGCCCGTCCCGGCCCCTCGACGCCCGCGCGCCGCCCGTCCCGGCCCCTCGCCGCCCGTGAGCCGCCCGTCCCGGCCCCTAGACGCCCGCGCGCCGCCCGTCCCGGCCCCTGGACGCCCGCGCGCCGCCCGTCCCGGCCCCTCGACGCCCACGCGCCGCCCGTCCCGGCCCCTAGACGCCCGCGCGCCACTCGGCCCGACCCCTAGACGCCCGCGCGCCGCCCGTCCCGGCCCCTCGACGCCCGCGCGCCGCCCGTCCCGGCCCCTCGACGCCCGCGCGCCGCCCGTCCCGGCCCCACGCCGCCCGTGAGCCGCCCGTCCCGGCCGCGCACCGCAGTCCCGGCCCCACGCCGCCCGTGCGCCGCCCGTCCCAGCCGCGCGCCGCCGTCTCGGTCCCCACGCCGCCTGTGCCGCTGAGGAGCTGAGCCGCCCGAGCCGCCCGAGCCGCCCGCACCGCCCGAGCAGCCCGAGCCGTGCTGCCCCTCAGCAGCACAACCGAGCCGCCCGACAGCAGAGCAGCCGAGCCGCCGAGCCGCCGCGCCGCCCTCCTTCCGGGCCGCCCGACCTGTCCAGTCTGGTGAGCACAGCGCCCTTTCACTGCACTGCCCTCACCCTACTGTTTGCGCTGCCAGTCGTCTAGGGTCATGGCTACCCCTAGTGTTCTAGTCTTTGACGCTGAGGGTCGGGCCATTGACTTTGAGGTCTGGGTGGATGACCTGCAGCTGTTCTTACAGTGCGATAGGGCAGATGGTCTCTCTCTCTTTGACCTCACCTCTGGCGCCTCCACTGCCCCTGCTGCTGACGCCGACACCACTGTTCGCTCCCAGTGGGCCACGCGCGACGCTGCTGCACGTCTTGCTGTGCGTCGCCACCTCCCTACCTCCGAGCGTGCACACTTTAGTCAGTACAAGAGTGCTCAGACCTTGTACGACGCTGTAGTTGCGCGCTACTCCTCCCCTGCCACTGCTGCACTGAGCCGTCTCATGCTACCGTACCTCTTTCCTGACCTTGCTGCCTTTCCCACAGTCGCTGACCTCATTACGCACCTCCGCACTAGTGACACTCGCTACCGCGCTGCACTCCCTGCTGGCTTCTGCGCCAAGAACCCCCCCCCCATGTACATCACTCTTTACTACATAGTCACTCGCCTTCCTGACTCCCTTCGCGTAGTCAGGGACCACTTTCTCTCTGTCTGTCCCACCACTCTCACTGTTGACCTCCTCGAGAAGTCCCTCCTAGCGGCCGAGAAGAGCATAGTCGCTGTAGGGGCCTCTCGTGGTGACCCGCGCACCCCCATCTTTGAGGGGTGTTCCCCCTCCCCCCTTCTGCCCTCTGTTGCCTCTGCTGCTGCGGCCGACCTCCTTGGTCTTGAGTCGGTCGGTGTGGCGTCTGCCCCTAGTGGGAGACGCCGCTCTGGCAAGGGCAAGGGGGGCAAGGGCGCTGGAGGAGCGAGCGGGGGCGGTGGAGGTGGAGGTGGCGGCAGTGGGGGGAGTGGGGGTGGCGGTGGGAGTGGAGGTGGGGGTGGAGGAGTCGGTGGCGGCAGTGGAGGCGGAGGTGTCGGCGGCGGTGGCAGTGGGAGCGGGGGTGGCGGAGGTGGCGGCGGCGGAGGCGGAGGTGGAGGCGGCGGCAGTAGCGGAGGCGGCGGAGGCGGAGGAGGCGGCGGGGGTGGAGGTGGTGCTGGTCGCGGGTCTTCGCAGAGGAGTGGCTCCGGTGGTGGCTCGCGCCAGCAGCAGCAGCGTGGTCGTGACACCTTGTCCCCTCAGCAGCTTCGTGAGTGGTACACTGCGCGTCAGCGAGGTGGGGGTTTTGGTCCGTGCTCCTACGTTTTGCGCACCGGCGACCGTGCGGGTGAGCAGTGTGGGGGTCCCCACCCCACTCAGCGCTGCTTTGGCCGCCTGACGGACGCGTGGCGTCACCAGTTCCCGGAGGCCTCAGAGATCCCTCGTTGAGGTGACCTGTCCAGGGCGGGTGTTGCCATCTATGATCTTGACTTTGATGCTATTCTCTCTGCCATGTATGCTGTGTCTATTAGTGATGAGGGTGACTGTTACCGGTGTTTCCCGCCCGATCCGGGTATTGAGACTGCTGCTCTAGGTCCTGGTGAGGCTGCTGCCCTAGGTGCTTGCGACGCTGCTGCCCTAGGTGCTCGTGTGTCTGCGTCCTCAGGTACTGGTGAGTCTGCGCTCTCAGGTACTACGTCGGCTTCGGCCTCCCTCACCTTCACCCTTGACTCTGGGGCGTCTCGCTCCTTCTTTAGGGACCGCACCACACTCACACCGCTGAGTCGACCGGTTGCAGTGTCTCTGGCTGACCCCTCTGGGGGTCCTGTCCTGTCTCGCTTCTCCACAGTCCTCCCGTGTCCGGCGGCTCCCTCTGGCACCCTGTCTGGTCTCTACCTCCCCTCGTTCTCTACGAACCTGGTGAGTGGTGCTGACCTACAGGATGCGGGTGTACACCAGTTCACTCCTGCGCGTCAGCGGGTGACGCACTGTACAGAGGCTCGCACAGGCCGACACCTGGCTACGTTTACCCGTCAGCCGGGGTCGAGCCTGTACACACTGACCACTGCGTCTCCTCCCGTTACTGAGTCTGGTAGAGTCGCTTCGTCGGGTCAGGTGTTTGCTGCTGCGTCCAGGTCTGGTCCTGAGTCTGCCCCCTGTTCTTGTCGTCTCCTGTCTCACGAGACTCTTCTCTGGCACCACCGTCTTGGTCACCCCTCTCTGCTTCGGCTCAGAGGCATGGCCTCCCGTCTTCTAGTGTCTGGTCTCCCCCGGTCCCTCCCTCCCCTTCCTCAGGGCCCTGGCCCTACCTGTGTCCCCTGTGTCGAGGGGCGCCAGCGTGCTGCCCCTCACTCCTCCCAGTTTCCTCCGACAGAGGCCCCGTTGCAGACGCTCCACATGGACGTGTGGGGCCCAGCCCGCGTCCGTGGGCAGGGTCACGAGCGCTACTTCCTGCTCGTTGTTGACGACTACTCGCGTTACACCGCAGTTTTCCCCTTGCGCGGCAAGGGTGATGTCACTGAGGTGCTGATCGACTGGATCCGCGCAGCTCGTCTCCAGCTCAGGCAGAGCTTTGGCTCCGACTTTCCTGTTCTGCGTCTGCACTCGGACAGAGGCGGAGAGTTCTCCTCTGGCCTTCTGCGAGCCTACTGTCGTGCACGAGGCATCCGTCAGACCTTCACGCTCCCGGACTCTCCGCAGCAAAATGGGATTGCTGAGCGCCGCATTGGCATGGTCATGGACGTCGCTCGTACGTCTATGATGCATGCGGCTGCCCCCCATTTTCTGTGGCCGTTTGCGGTGAGGTACGCGGCACGTCAGATCAACCTTCACCCCAGGGTCTCCAGACCGGAGACCTCCCCAGCCTTGCTGTGGACCGGGAAGGTGGGCGATGCGTCGGCGTTCCGGGTCTGGGGATCTCGGGCGTTTGTCCGCGACTTGTCTGCGGACAAACTGTCCCCTCGTGCTGCTCCTTGCGTCTTCCTGGGGTTCCCCCCAGACGCGCCTGGGTGGCAGTTCTACCACCCCACCTCTCGCCGTGTTCTGTCCTCTCAGGACGTCACGTTCGACGAGTCGGTACCCTACTACCGCCTCTTCCCCTACCGCACTCCGTCCCCCCCCCCCGCCCCCGCTCTTCCTTGTACCAGGTCCCCCCCCGGTAGACCCCCTCCCCCCTCAGGGTCCTGCCCCTTCAGGTGTGTCCCAGGTAGACGCAGTCGAGCCTGTCGAGGTCACTGGTGACTCTGGTGCTGCTGGGGGTGCTGAGCCTGGGGGTGCTGGGCCTGGGGGTGCTGGGCCTGGGGGTGCTGAGCCTGGGGGTGCTGAGTCTGGGGGTGCTGAGTCTGGGGGTGCTGAGCCTGGGGGTGCTGAGCCTGGGGGTGCTGAGCCTGGGGGTGCTGAGCCTGGGGGTGCTGAGTGTGGGGGTGCTACGCCTGGGGGTGCTTTGCCTGGGGGTGCTGGACCTGGGAGTGCTGCACCTGGAGGTCCTCCGCCTCGAGTTTCTACGCGTGCTTTGTCTCGCCGGGAGCCACTCTCTCCACAGGAGCTGCGCGAGTGGTTTGCCCGGCGCTGGAGCCGTGCTGCTGGTGCTGGAGGTTCGTCGGCTACTGAGGGTGCTGCTGTTGCGGGTCCCGGAGGTGCTCGTACTGGGAGTACTGGAGCTGCTGGGCCTGCGGGTTCGACTGGAGCTGGTGCTGCTGAGGGTGTTGTCGCTGAGACTACCACTGGCGGTCCTGCTGGGGGTGCTCCTGGTGTTGCTCGAGGTTCTGGAGCTACTGGAGGTGCTGCTGGAGCGGGTGCTCCTGCTGGGGGTACTGGTGCTGTCCCTGCTGTTTCTGGCGTAGCTACGCGGCCTCGACCGTACTTCGTTCCACTCCTGCAGCAGGTTCTTGGTCTTCCGCCCTCTCCTGGTCCTCCTCCTCTCTTGGAGGGTCCACAGCCTGTCCCGTCGCGGTCACTGCTACAGCCTACCTCCCCTTTGCCTGCTCCTTCTCCCTACACTGGTCCTACTGGAGGTCTTACTGAGCGTCGTGAGCCTGCGTCTCGCCCTGCGTCGCCTGTCCGTGCTGCTCGCGCTAGTGGTCGTGGTTCGCGTCAGCGTCCTCCTCCTGTCCCTGGCACGCACAGGATGTCTCTGCGTCCGTCTACTGCTCCTCTGCGTGCCCCTTTGCCTTCTCCTCCTGAGTCCTCTCTTCCTGCTCTTCCCGACCCTGCGTCGGACTCTCTTCGTGCTGCCAGTCCTACTGTCACGCGTCTCCTTGCTACTGTCGTCACTGACCCTTCCTTCGAGTCTACTGCTGCGTCTGCCCTAGTTACTGAGCTCGTCGACTTTGCTGCTCGCTGTCGCCTAGACTACGCTGCTAGTCTTGTCGCTGAGTCTGGGTCTGCCTGTCCTCCGTCAGTCGGGGGTGAGTGTGCCCTTGGCACGGACGTCCTTGAGGACAGGCAGGAGGAGTTCCAGTGTCTGGCAGCTACTTCACCTCATCTCGTGTCCGTACTGCTTACCCCTGAGGGAGACCCGGATGCACTTGACATCCCGACTCCGCGCTCTTACGCGGAGGCGATAGAGGGTCCCTACTCCTCTCAGTGGCAGGCAGCTATGGATGCAGAGATGGCTTCCTGGAAGTCCACAGGCACCTACGTTGACGCTGTCCCCCCTCTTGGGGCGAACATCGTCAGTGGCATGTGGATCTTCAGGGTGAAGCGGCCGCCGGGTTCTCCGCCTGTCTTCAAGGCACGTTACGTGGCTCGTGGCTTCAGTCAGCGACAGGGAGTTGACTACTTTCAGACCTTCTCCCCCACCCCGAAGATGACCACTCTTCGGGTGCTGCTACACGTTGCTGCTCACCGTGACTACGAGCTGCACTCTCTCGACTTCAGCACTGCTTTCTTGCAGGGCAGCCTGCACGAGGAGATCTGGCTGCGCCGCCCACTTGGCTTCACTGGGTCTTTCCCTCCTGGTACCCAGTGGAGTCTCCGGCGTCCAGTCTACGGTCTCCGCCAGGCGCCACGTGAGTGGCACGACACACTGAGGACTACGCTTGCGGCTCTTGGGTTTGCTCCTTCTACTGCCGACCCGTCGCTGTTTCTACGCACCGACACCTCTCTGCCGCAGTTCTACATCCTCGTGTACGTCGACGACTTGGTCTTTGCCACAGCTGACACTGCTGGACTCGCCCACGTGAAGTCCGAGCTGCAGAAGAGACACACGTGCACAGACCTGGGTGAACTGCGCAGCTACCTTGGCTTGCAGATCACCCGGGACAGAGCACGCCGCACCATTACCCTGACTCAGTCACACATGGTGCAACAGGTCCTTCAGCGCTTCGGCTTCACGTACTCCTCGCCTCAGGCCACTCCTCTGCCTACTCGCCACTCACTCTCAGCTCTGCCTTCGGATGAGTCAGTAGAGTCGAGTGGCCCGTATCCAGAGCTTGTTGGCTGCCTCATGTACCTGATGACCTGCACACGACCTGACCTTGCATACCCTCTTAGCATTCTTGCACGCTATGTTGCTCCTGGGAGACACCGACCAGAGCACATGGCTGCAGCGAAGAGGGTGTTGCGATACTTGTGCAGTACGTCGGGCATGGGACTAGTGCTTGGAGGGCGGAGTCCAGTGGTCCTCACTGGGCACGCGGACGCTTCTTGGGCTGACGACCAGGCTACGCAGCGGTCGTCGCAGGGTTACACCTTCAGTCTTGGTTCCGGCTCTGTCTCGTGGCGAGCTACTCGCTCGTCCTCTGTTCTCGGCTCCAGTTGTGAGGCTGAGATCTACGCCGGGGCCATGGCTGCACAGGAGCTTCGCTGGCTCACCTACCTGCTGACTGACCTTGGAGAGCCGCCTCGTTCTCCTCCAGTGCTGTACGTAGACAACAAGGCCATGCTGGCCTTGTGTCGAGAGCAGCGCTTGGAGCACAGAACGAAGCACATTGCTCTCCGTTACTTTCTTGCTCGTGAGCTGCAGCAGCGTGGTCAGTTGCGACTTGCGTACGTGGCCTCTCAGGCCAACACTGCTGATGTGTTCACCAAGGCACTTGCGCCTTGTGACCATCAGCGCTTCTGCACTCAGCTGGGTCTTGTACCTGTCTTGCCTCACTTGCTCTCCTCTTGACCTTACTTGTACTGTCACATATATATACCTGCTCTTGCTTGTCTAGCTCTATATATATATGTGTACTCCTGCATGTGAACTGGCCTTGTGGCCTTGTCGTTGTGCTCGGACTGTGTGGTGACGTTGTGATCCACCCTGAGCTTGCTCTGCTTTGCTTGACTGGTCTTGTGACCCCTTGTTCTCCCCCACTTTGCCTATGGGGGTGTGTCAGAACATTATATAGCTTATGCTGTTGTGTAGGCTATAGTGGGGTATCCCATAGGGGGTACAACCCAATTAGGGTTTTCCATATGTACTCACCTCATTCATAGTTCATCCATCCTCGTTCTTCATTCTTCTCACATTTTTACCACGATTATTTCCTACCAATTTGCAGCTTTGTCACCACTTTGGGCTCCAGATAATGAAACCATCGTTGGTATCATAATAGGAAGCAATACTACAGGAAAGTTCCGCCGATCGTGAATATATTAGTACCACCATGGGTCTCATAAACCTGTTGTCTTGGTTGTTTTATGTTGATGGGTTGTAGTAAGGATTTGTATGGCACATGATTCATGCCTATCAAAGTCTAGATACAGTCATCCAGGAAGTTTCCATACATACAATTCCAAATGTCTGGATACAATGGGACCACAGTGAAGCCGGAAATGCTTATTCCAGTATGGCGAATTTTAATTCTTACCGAGAACCTTACCTCAACCTCCTGTCTCTATGTTTTTATGTACCAAAAATGGCAGATCAAACTGTAGTCGTCCGTGTTACGAATCGTTATGCATCCGCGCTAACAGCGAACCCGAAATCCGGTCAATGGACCGATCATATGCGCGCCCGTTTTTAACCGGTCATATGCGCGTGAGTATATGACCGGTCATATGCGCGTGAGCGTATGGCCGGTCATTTGGGCGTGTGAATCTTACTGGTCAAGGGCGGATGTGTATATGACCGTTCATATGCGGTTCATATGAATCTTGCTGAAGGTCGCACATATTCACATTGTAGTTAAAAGCATGAAAACTAACATAGTTATCTATTAGTCAATGGTCGGCAATCAATCACTCCCCGTACCACTAGTTTGCTACATGATACACCCCTGACCCCCCATATTTCCCCTTACACTTCTTCCTGGTATGCTCAATCGACCCACAGTCGCCACACTTGTATGTCCGTTTTCGTGCTTCACGCCTTCGGTTAGATTGTGGCTGCCCTGATCCTCTCTACACAAAAACAGGGGCATCACAAACTCCCTCCTCAACCGGCTCGATTTCCGCAATAACCGTGTCTACACACGAATACGGAATAAGCTCCGCGTAAGTCCTTCTCCAGTTGTCCGTCTTCCAATACCTGGTGATCAAGGGAATAACATCCATTCTCCTATTCCGTAAGTGTGCAAACGCATGTGAGCATGGAAAACGATATTCATGCCAGTCTTTGCACTCGCACAATCTCTCTCCAACATCATTGTTGAAGGAGAGAGGACGTTGATCCAAAACGCTCCCCTTGTTCCGAACCCTTGCCTTATTTGTACCGTTGCGGGTGACTCTGTAACCACGGCTTCGGTTGTTTTTCAGCTCGAACCTCTTCTCAGCTTCGACCGTTAGTGCATGCTGCCAGTTCAAAGACTTCCGCTGCCATCCAATCCCACATGCCCCCCATTACGAAGGATACAGGCAAAATACGAATCTTCTTGATAGCGTTGTTAATGGACTCCACCATTTGGCTGCTGTAGATGCCAAACCGACATGTGGGGGCATAACACCGTGCCCATTGCTTGATGAAGACTGTGATTTTTCCTTTTCCTCTTATATCTCGGTCCATCCTGACCCGTGCGAACAATAATACCCGCCCCTTCCTCCATCTTGTCACTGTCCCCCTGCTCAGCTACCGCACTGCCCAACCCACCGAATCCCGTCCCTACAGTGTGATTGACGTCCGCACCCTCTGCGGCTTTGTTGGCCTGACCCATGGCTTGGGCAACACCCTGCTGCGGTGTTGGCTGACGAACAGTTTGGCTCCCTTGCGTTGGGAGCTGTGCTGCTGGTGATTCGACGCGTTTTAAACCTCTTGCACCTCCCTCTCTTGCAATCCGCTTCCCCGTAATAATCTCCATCCGTCGTTGGCGTCTCATGGCCGCTTGTTGCGCTGCTGTGGTGGATAGCCGTTGAGATGTAGTAGTGTTGGCATGTGAGCAGTGGCCCATGTCTGTACACGCCTCAGATTCAGCATCCTCCGATTCCTCCCCGCGGCTGATTTGGCTCCCATCCTCCACGTCAAAGTGCTCATTGAACACTTCTGCTGTGGTATCTTCCCCCGCTTGACTGTCGAACATGGTTGTACGGATATCTCCCACATACTCGCCTCCATACGAAGGCTGCTGAGATGGTGGATGCTGGCATGGTTGCTGCTGAAGTGGTGGCTGCTGGTATGGTGGCTGCTGAGTTCGTGGATGCTGAGATGGTGGCTGTTGAGATGGTGGTTGCTGGCATGGTTGCTGCTGAAGTGGTGGCTGCTGATATGGAGGCTGCTGAGTTGGTGGCTGCTGAGATGGTGGCTGCTGAGAGGGTGGCTGCTGGCATGGTTGCTACTGAAGTGTTGGCTGCTGATATGGTGGCTGCTGAGTTGGTGGATACTGAGATGATGGCTGCTGAGATGGTGGCTGCTGAGATGGTGGCTGCTGATATGGTGGCTGCTGATATGGTGGCTGCTGGGATGGTGGCTGCTGAGATCGTGGCTGCTGAGATGGTTCCTGCCGAGATCGTGGCTGCCGAGATGGTGTCTGCTGCTCTCCGCTGCGACCAGTCCTCTTTTGCCGCCGCACTTCCATCCTTGCCATTCTGGCTCTTTGTGCCGCGCCCGTCCGGCTCCGTAACCCATCCCCGGCCTATGGCTCCCTTGCACGCTGGCCGGCTCCTCGTCCGCCACGGGTCTGCTGCGCACGGTCCTCTTCGACCCCAAAGAGGTAGTTCGCCATTGCAGCACACTCAGCCTGGCATTTCCTCACCAGTTTGCCAAACTTCCGCTTCGTGCAGCAGTTTGCGAGCTTCTTGAAGAGTTCAGAGGCGTTAGGGCCAAACTTCAGCACATTCTGCTCCAAATGCCAGCTGCAAAAGTAGTGGGGGAACTGGGATGAGAACACTTCTTTAACATCCGGTATTAACCCCTTATCACGATCACTGATGAGGGAGGCATCCTGGGTAGCCGGCCACGAAGGAAAATGCTTCAACAAGTTATCACAAAACCACTTCCAACTGTCTTTATTCTCGCTCTCGCACAGACCGTAAGCGAATGGAACAAGCTGGTTATTTCCATCCTTAGCAGCCGCAACCAAGAGCGTAGCCCGCTGCGCCCGAATGAGAAATGTACCATCCATGCCAATGACCGGTCGGCAGAACCTTAGAGCAGTTTTTGATGCCGATGGGGCGGCAAAAGCCGGGAAGAAAGCGTGATTCCTCGTCACAAGGTCGAGCGTTGAATCAGGGTCAATCTCTCTGAACCGTTCCAACACCCGAGGAATGTAGCGGAAACACGTATTTCAATCTCCAAAGCGCTCCTTCAGCATCTTTTCCTTGAGCCTGCAATGACGGATGACGATGTGCGAGAAATGATAGGCACGTTGAGAAAACAGAAGGTGAATGGTGTGCTTAAGAACGTGCATGTGAGAATGGACGTGATATGGAGAGTGATAATTGATATCCGGACCACCGGTCGATGCAATCTGATCCTTTTACGTCCCGGGAGGGTGATGTGGTGCAGCATGGACAAGGTTGCCATGATGACGCTGCAGATATGGCACTTTATTTGTTGTATGCTTCACGTAGCGGTCCCGATTAACGGGTGAGCAGCAATGAGATGATGGGGCGGACAGTTTGTCAACACGCCAAAACCCACCCACTCCGTCAGTGGAGTACGCACACCGCCACCTGCACGCTGGTTTAAGACGCTCATGTTGACTCATGCATATGGCTTGGATTTGTTTCGCCTACTCCTCGTAACCCTAAATTCGAAGTTGCAAGCTACCGAATAGTCTTCTAGTGCTTCGTACAAAAACTGCTTAGAGGAGTATAGTTGACCTTCACATAACGGAGCTCGATCGTCTATCACAATTTGTGGCGAGCGGTCCTCGTCGACGACCATTTCCCGTAGCCACGCACGGTACATATCACTTTGTTTGGGCTCTCCAGTTCCAACAAAGCAAAACATGTCAGAATGTATTTGCTGTCTAGCCTGCAGTGGGGTAATCTGTAGTGAGTACAACCCAATTTAGGGTTTGCTATTTGTATCCCGACTCTTGCTAGTGCAATCCTCTTCTTCCATTTCTCTTTCGTGTACCCTAAACCCTAGCTATGGTTACAAAGTTCTAGCTAGGCTTCTGACATGCTATCAGAGCGACTACGCTCCTGGCCTGTGGGCCCACTTGCTTCCGCTGCTGTCCTGTCTGTCGCGCGCCCCGTGGCCCGCGATGTTTTTTCTTCCCGCCACGCGCTCGGGGCGCATGGCGGTTTTCTGCCCGCCACGCGCTCGGGGCGCACGGCGGTTTTCTGCCCGCCGTGTGCCCCGAGGCGCGCGGCGGTTTCCTTCCTCGCGCGTCACTCCGGGGAGCCCGTCGCGGAGTCTCCGGGGAGCCCGTCACTCCGGGGAGCCCCGTCGCCCGTCGCGGAGCCCTGGAGGCCCGCGCGTCGCCCCCCCCCCCCCCCCCCCCCCCCCCTCCCGTCGCCCGTCGCGGCTCCCTGGGGGCCCGCGCGCCGCCCCTCCCGTCGCCCGTCGCGGCGCCCTGGGGGGCCGCGAGTCGCCCTGCCCGTCGCCCGTCGCGGCGCCCTGGGGGCCAGCGCGTCGGCCCCCCCTCCCGTCGCCCGTCGCGGCGCCCTGGGGGGCTGCGCGTCGCCCCTCCCGTCGCCCGTCGCGGCGCCCTGGGGGGCCGCGCGTCGCCCCTCCCGTCGCCCGTCGCGGCGCCCTGGGGGCCCGCGCGTCGCCCCCTCCCGTCGCACGTCGAGGCACCCTGGGGGCCCGCACGCCGCCCCGCTTCCGCTCACACGCCGCCCCAACTGCTGCCCGCGTTTTTGCCCTGCGTTTGGGGTATAGGGGTGGCGGGTATGGGGGTGGCAGGTGTGTGAGCCGTCCCCTGCTCCTCCTCCTCCTCCTCCGTCCCACTGCTGCAGCTGCCGCTGAGGGGGATGGGTGTGTGGGAGCCAAGGGAGTGGCGTTAGGGGGGTGACGTGGGAGTGGAGCTAGGGGTGCAGCAAGGGGTGTGTGAAAGGGGGGGTGGGACAGTTGGGGGAGGTTGAGCGGAGGCTGCCGTCTTGTCGTCCGCAGCACCTGTAGTCCGGGGCTCTGCCGCTGGTAGCCCAGAGAGCCTGCTGCGCCTGTCGCCCCTGGGTCCGTTGCTCCTTCCGCTCAGAGTTAGCCGCAGAGCCAGTTACTCCTGTAATCCGGGGCCCTTGCTCCGGTAGCCACCGTGCGCGCGCTCCTGTTGCCCGTGTGTCTGCAGCTTCAGCCGTCGCCTCCTATCTCCTCTCCTCTCACAGTCCAGCCTCCTCCTCCTCACTTGCCCTTTGTGAATGCCTCTAGCTTTGCTTGTACTGGTGAACCTGCTCTATGACTGCTTGCTGTGCTGATTATACCCCACTTTGACTATGGGGGTGTGTCAGAATGTATTTGTTGTCTAGCCTGCAGTGGGGTAATCTGTAGTGAGTACAACCCAATTTAGGGTTTGCTATTTGTATCCCAACTCTTGCTAGTGCAATCCTCTTCTTCCATTTCTCTTTCGTGTACCCTAGACCCTAGCTATGGCTACTAAGTTCTAGCTAGGCTTCTGACAAAACTTCGTGTCTTCATTGCATGAGTCGGACTCTGTGTTAGAGGTGTAAGACATTGAACCCATCCCGGCTAATAGGAACGTTCAAGCTGGAAAAGCTCCTACAAAAACCTCCTATTAGGACCTAAGTGGTCTAATCAAAGGCTAAGGTAAATGTCAACCCTAAAACAACGAGAGGAAATGGTGAGAGCGATCTGTAGCATATGTTTCAAATAATAATGCGCGGGAAGATGATACAGGCGTACCAAACCAGATTGATCGTTTTAACTTGAACCTAATTGGCCAGAGTTTATGCTTGTGCGAGTGTTTTTACCATATAATTGGCGAGATCATATAGTAGATTGAGTTCAATTTGCGCGGTCAAATATGGTCGCAATCTGTAATGATGGCACCTGATTGGACGCGCAACGCCAACAATTGCACCGTGCATATTATCGACGAATCATGAGCGGTCGTTAGGGCTGTTGCGGTTTGATGATTGTCAATTGAAGTATATGATCGCGGAGTTATATGCTCGACCGCTTATTGGTAAAAAAATTGTTTGACCGCGCATTCATTGGTTGCGTATAGTACTGAAAATGACCGCGCATATACTGTTGGTCGTGCATTTTTTACGGTTTTGTGTACAGCGTGTAGACCACGTTCGCACCTGCCACCCATCCGAATTTTTCGGGTGAGGAATAGTACGAAACACTACCGTGGGATGAGACTCGTGCGAAGGAGGAATTCCGGGATACAAACCCTTGTAGGGAAATGTGCCGGGGAAAAAAAAACACCTCGAAAATGCCTTGGCGTGGCCACTCGAACAATTATCACCAAAATGGATGGCCACGCGAGCAATTCGGGGACACGTGGGCAAGATCGAATCACGAAACAAAGCCCTGGAGCAATTCTCTCCAGTTCCAGCGTGATAAGCAGTCCGATCTTGATACCTACGACCTAAAAGAGTCCATTTTCCTCAACGAGTAGAATTTTCACACAAGTCATAGGTGTATCCCCTCCTCTACAGTCCCATTTTTGGCGGGAAATCTTGCATCTTGACTGAATCATTGCACAAATCAGTTCCGCAGCCAATCAGATAACGTAAATCGAACCTGTCAGAACATTCACGGAATATAAAAGGAAAGAAACGTTTTGATCCACTATTTACTTTTGCAATTGATACTGTCTGTTTATCTTGACCGCGCTTGTGTCTAAATCCTGTTGCGCGGTTCCCCGCGAGCTTGACGATGCCATCTCATTAATATCGCTTACAGAGTAAGAAAAAAAATGTTGTCTTTCATTTCGACCTTGAACATAATTGATTTTGTATTTTTCTGCCCATTTATCCTGCGGCATTGATCAACGCGGCGAACTGTGCGACGTGAAGTTGAAGACAGCGACAGGAAAAAACGACTAGTTTCGAGGGATTATCGCTCTTCATGCAATTTTCCTTATATGGGACCATAAGTTCCCTTTTGCCCGGGGTTTGTGAGTTTTCCACAAAGGCCCGCAGCGCGCGTGTTTTTCACGGGGACTCTAATCGAGAACATTTGTACTGATGTGACTGTACATGACTGTGCACGAGGGATGACGGGCAAATTCAACGGTCTGTGGGACTGGCCTGGCAACAAGAAGGAAGTTCACAAATGTATGTGGAAGCCAGACTGATCCTTCCTCGTCGGTGTTGTATCGCGAAAATGCCCGGCGAAAATGCGAAGCGGACTAGTCATTCGCAGTCCATTCACGTATGGGACAAGCATGGTACCTGAGCTGAGAGTTGCCAGGTTGCCGGACCCGCCAGTCGGCTACATGGAGGAATCCAGGACCGTCGGACTCAGTCGTCTTTGGGACGGGGCAGTGCTGCGAATCCTGGGCAATTGGACTCGCTGGCCAGTTTCAGTGTCGCAAACCCTCCAGGTATTTTTAACGAGTCATTCTTTGGCACAACGTCGATACCCGCTACTCTCAGAGTCAGCTAGCTTCGCACGCATCACGCTCGTTTCGAAAGCAGCATCTTCCGCCAATCGTGTGTTTCCGCCAATCGTGTGTTTCCGCCAGTCGTGTGTTTCCGCCTATCGTGTGTTTCCGCCATTCGTGTGTTTCCGCCAGTCGTGTGTTTCCGCGAGCAAGATCAACACGCCTCGCATCAGCCTCGCCACGTCATCATGGCGTTCCTCGCCTGCGTGCTGCTACTCGCCGCGCTCCTCTCCCCCGCCACCGTGATCACCGGCGCCGCCACCACCACGGCTCTGGATGGCGCTCATAGCAGCAGCGTGGTGACTAAGCGCCTGTCGCGGCGTGCCTTGCCAGATGCCACATTCGTCGCAGAATTTCGTCGTCCGTCCGTTGCTCGTCGCCTGAGCGCCGAAGTGGCGCAGCCAGCCGCAGCGAGCCCGCCAGGCGATGTGAAGCTCGCACCCTCGCAATGTGAGTCGCCTTTGTACGCGATATAAACGTAACGTCAGCCACGATCATGGTCATAACCTAAACCTATACCGTTTTGGCATGCGCCATTGCTTCGCCTTCCGGCCATGCCAACGTGATCGCAACTCTAAAGGCTTCTTCCCCTCCCCCTCCCCCTCCCCCCTCCCCCTCCCCCTCCCCCTCCCCCTCCCCCTCACACTCCCCTCCCCCTCCCCCCTTCCCCTCCCCCTCCCCCTTCCCCTCCCCCTCCCCCCTTCCCCTTCCCCCTCTCCCCCCCTTCTCCCCCTCACCTCCCCCCTCCATCCCGCGGCGGAACTGGCAGTGGCGGCGCTGGTGGCGCTGACGGGGTGGGAGGCGGCGGAGATGTGCTCCCAGTGGATGGGCGTCACATGTGACGGCCGAGGCATGGTCACCGATATGTGAGACACATGCTGGGTTCAGGAATGTATGCTGCTGCTGGGTCTAACAAGGCGCTGTGTGTGTGTGTGTGTGCGCGCGCGCGCGCGTGCGTGTGTGCGTGCGTGCGTGTGCGTGTGCATGTGTGTGTGTGCGCGCGCGCGCGCGCGTGTGCATGCGTGTGCAAGTGTGTGCATGCGTGTGCAAGTGTGTGCATCCTTTCTTCCTTTGATATTTTGAAAACACACCTTTCTCTCTTTTCCATTTGGCTCACTCACCTTCGTCAGGCCATCCACCCCCCTTCAAACGCCCCCTCAACCGTCTCCTCTTATCCTTCCCTGCAACTCACCTGCGTGTCACCAGGAACCTGGGCGGCCAGGGCCTCTCGGGCCCCATCCCCATGGACGCATTCTGCAACCTCACCGCTCTCCAGGAACTGTGAGCCGTGCCTCTCTCGTTTTCCACAACTCGCACCCTCAGGTCCCGTCACCATCCATACTCGCCTCCCACTCCCTTCCTCTCTCTCCTTCATCGTGTGACCGATGGTTCTCTTTCTGATAAGCCTTCTCCTCATCTCCCTCCAACCCTCTGCACCCCACCCCCTGCAGCGAACTCTCCTTCAGCCCTTTGACCGGCAGCCTGGAGTTTCTTGACTGCCTGCCCGCCTTGCAATACCTGTACGCCCACGTTCCTCTCCACTTCACTTCAAGATCGCGCGGCTGTTCATTCCATTCCTCCCTCATATGCCCGACGCTCAATCGCTTTTGTATTATCCCCTCATACCCTTGGTCTCACGCAAGCGCACTCAACTCCCCATCTGTCCTCCCCACACACGGCAGCGATCTGCACGCCACTGAGCTGACTGGGGAGATCCCCGTCTCCCTCGGCAAAGCCACCGCCCTCTCATACCTGTGAGTCACGGCCTTCCCTCCCTGCTCTGCCCTCTCGCCCACCGGAGCGTATAGGTGTGAACTACAGGGGAGGTGTGTGAAAGGCATGAGAGGAAGCATGCATGTTAGTTCAGAACATGGGTTTTCGTTCTTGTTATGTCCAAGTTGAGGGCCACGTGCACTGGTGTGTCCCTCCCTCCCACTTGCCTTCTCTGTTTTCTCTTGTGCCTTGGCTCGGCAGTTCCTCTCTAGTGTGTGTTCTATATCGTTGCACTGTTCAATCCAATTTGTTCCGCTACTTAGCGGTCGCTTTCACTATGGCTTCCCTGTCTTCACGTTTCCTCCCGTCCCTTTTTCTCAACCCTAGAAAAACAAGACACTCTCCTCTCATCTCCTCTCCTTTCTTCTCCTCTCCTGCTGATGCATGTTCTCCCCAGTGATTAGGCAAGTAGCTCATATTGCTTGTGCGTGCCAGCAACGTTACCAACCACGCCCCTTCCCCATTCTCCCCACTCTCCTGCGTGTCACCAGGAACCTGGGCGGCCTGGACCTCTCGGGCCCCATCCCCACGGACGCATTATGCAACCTCACCGCTCTCCAGGAACTGTGAGCCGTGCCTCTCTCGTTTACGACAACTCGCACCCTCAGGTCCCGTCACCATCCATACTCGCCTCCCACTCCCTTCCTCTCTCTCCTTCATCGTGTGACCGATGGTTCTCTTTCTGATAAGCCTTCTCCTCATCTCCCTCCAACCCTCTGCACCCCACCGCCCTGCAGCGATCTCTCCTTCAGCTCTTTGACCGGCAGCCTGGAGTTTCTTGACTGCCTGCCCGCCTTGCAATCCCTGTACGCCCCCGTTCTTCTGCACTTCACTTCTCCTTGTGTACTGGATCCCCTTTTGAGAACTTTCAAGATTGCGCGGCTGTTCATTCCATTCCTCCCTCATATGCCCGACGCTCAATCGCTTTTGTATTATTCCCTCATACCCTTGGTCTCACGCAAGCGCACTCAACTCCCCATCTGTCCTCCCCACCACACACGGCAGCGATCTGCTCGGCACTGCGCTGACTGGGGAGATCCCCGCCTCCCTCGGTAAAGCCACCGCCCTTACATACCTGTGAGTCACGGCCTTCCCTCACTGCTCTGCCCTCTCGACCACTGAAGCGTACAGGTGTCGACAACAGGGATGAGAGTGTGTCGACAATCGGTGTGTGAGAGGAATGAGAGGAGGTGTGCATTCAGTTCAGAGAGTGGGGTTTCTTTCACCTTGACTAGGTAACCAGGTTCACGTTCCAATTCAGAGGTTGGCGTCACTATTCTAAATCCTGTCTTCATGTTTCCTCCCCTCACTCTTTTTCTTTTAATTCTCCGCTCTCTTTCCTCCTCCTCTTTACCCCCACCAGCTCCCTCGGACACATCGACCTCACAGCAGCAGAGCTCCCTGCCTCTCTCTCCGCCCTCACCAATCTCGCCCACCTGTACGTAACGGCCAGTAAGGCCTTACAGTGCGGCTTGCTGAGTACAGACACAGAGATGACTTTCAAGTCGACTCAGAAGTCACCTCGGCTTGCTGCATTGCATTGCATACAGACACAATTCCCCCACGAGTTGTGGACTTACACCGCCGCTTGCTGAGGCCCCTCTCTGCTTCCCTCCGTGCCTCGCCCTCTCTGTGCTTGCTGCATCGCACCAAGTAGGACGTAAAGGTTAGCCTGCAACGGTACAGCGGCTGCTCGTGCATGGTTGATATCCTTCCTCCTTGATACCTGCTGATGCATGTTCTCCCCAGTGATTAGGCAAGTAGCTCAAATTGCTTGTGCGTGCCAGCAACGTTACCAACCACGCCCCTTCCCGCCTTTCCCCTGTGGAGCAGTGACCTGAGCTATCTCAGTTTCACCCGCGTGCCATCGTGGATCGGACAACTCCTGCACCTGGAATTCCTGTAATTTCCACCAACCCTGTCTTTCCCCCCGTTTCTTCGTGTCTCAGGCGCGACTCTCACATTCCTCTAGGCTCTAGCAATCCTCTCACGTCACTCTCACGTTGTCGACCGCTCGTTGCACTATTGCACTGCACCACCCACCCACTTTTGAGGCGCCTCAAAAGTCGTTGCACTATTGCACTGCGCCACCCACCCTCCATGCTCTCTGCACACCACGCACCGTGCTATTTCCACACCACCCACTATGTTCTCTCCTCATCAACCACCTTGCTCTCTCCTCACCACCCGCCTTACTCTCCCTCCTCTCTCCAGGGATGTGACAGCACCCGACGGCCTCACCCCTGCGCGCTCCTCGCCCTTTCCAGCCGAGTGGACGGCTCTCACCAGCCTCAACACCCTGTGAGCTGCCTCCTTCCTGCCCGCCCACCTGCCTGCGTACCTGCTGCTCGTTTGTCACCCTGCCTGCCTGCTGCTCGCGTGTCGCTCTGCTGATGCCCATGATTCACCTTGTTTATGTGTATCGAGGTCACAGAGTGCCAGCAGCAGCTGCTACTACAACAGGGGGGCACGCACGCACAGCAGCAGCAGCCTCACGCGGCGGGTCGACCCGCGTCACGAGCGAGAGTTGAGCATTATATCCGGTTCATTTCAACTGAACGAGCCTGTTCGGCAGCCCTTTCGCCCTCTCTCTGTGTGTGTCATATGATTGTGCTCCCCCCACTCATGAGTAACTCCTGGCTCTCTGCTCTGCTCTGCTCTGCTGCACATCCCACCCCACTCTCCCCCCCATCGCAGGAGGGCAGCGGGCAACGGCTTCTCAGGCTCCCTACCCGCCACCATCTCCGCCCTCACTTTCCTCTCAGAGCTGTACGCCTCCCATGAGTCCTCAGCACCTTTCGCGTCTTTAGCACACTCGTGCCTTACCCTACCACCATCTCCGCCCTCACTGGCTTCTCAAATCAAAGCTGTACGCCCCGCCTCTCATGACCGCTCGGGCACCTTTCTCATTAGCACACTCGTGGCTTACCCTTAATATGTTGCGGTTTTGCAGCAACAGTGCCGTTGTGCCTAGTATTCTGTAACCTGAAACCGTGCAGCATCTCTCCCTCGCTCTCTGTGTGCCTGCCTGCCTGCCTGCCCGCCTGCCTGCCTGCCTGCCTGCCCGCCCGCCCGCCCGCCCGCCCGCCCGCCCGCCTGTCTGCCTGCCTGCCTGCCTGCCTGCCTGCCTGCCTGCCTGCCTGCTGCCTGCCTGCCTGCCTGCCTGCCTGCCTGCCTGCCTGCCTGCCTGCCTGCCTGCCTGCCTGCCTGCCTGCCTGCCTGCCTGCCTGCCTGCCTGCCTGCCTGCCTGCCTGCCTGCCTGCCTGCCTGCATGCCTGCCTGCCTGCCTGCCTGCCCTGCCTGCCTGCCTGCCTGCCTGCCTGCCTGCCTGCCTGCCTGCCTGCCTGCCTCCTGCCTGCCTGCCTGCCTGCCCTGCCTGCCTGCCTGCCTGCCTGCCTGCCTGCCTGCCTGCCTGCCTGCCTGCCTGCCTGCCTGCCTGCCTGCCTGCCTGCCTGCCTTGCCGCCTGCCTGCCTGCCTGCCTGCCTGCCTGCCTGCCTGCCTGCCTGCCCTGCCTGCCTGCCTGCCTGCCCTGCCTGCCTGCCTGCCGCCTGCCTGCCTGCCTGCCTGCCTGCCTGCCTGCCTGCCTGCCTGCCTGCCTGCCTGCCTGCCTGCCTGCCCTGCCTGCCTGCCTGCCTGCCTGCCATCTGCCTGCCTGCCTGCCTGCCTGCCTGCCTGCCTGGCCTGCCTGCCTGCCTGCCTGCCTGCCTTGCCTGCTGCCTGCCTGCCTGCCTCGCCTGCCTGCCTGCCTGCCTGCCTGCTGCCCTGCCTGCCTGCCTGCCCTGCCTGCCTGCCGCCTGCCTGCCTGCCTGCCTGCCTGCCTGCGCTGCCTGCCTGCCTGCCTGCCTGCCTGACTGCACTGCCTGCCTGCCTGCCTGCCTGCCTGCCTGCCTGCCTGCCTGCCTGCCTGCCTGCCTGCCTGCCTGCCTGCCTGCCTGCCTGCCTGCCTGCCTGCCTGCCTGCCTGCCTGCCTGCCTGCCTGCCTGCCTGCCTGCCTGCCTGCCTGCCTGCCTGCCTGCCTGCCTGCCTGCCTGCCTGCCTGCCTGCCTGCCTGCCTGCCTGCCTGCCTGCCTGCCTGCCTGCCTGCCTGCCTGCCTGCCTGCCTGCCTGCCTGCCTGCCTGCCTGCCTGCCTGCCTGCCTGCCTGCCTGCCTGCCTGCCTGCCTGCCTGCCTGCCTGCCTGCCTGCCTGCCTGCCTGCCTGCCTGCCTGCCTGCCTGCCTGCCTGCCTGCCTGCCTGCCTGCCTGCCTGCCTGCCTGCCTGCCTGCCTGCCTGCCTGCCTGCCTGCCTGCCTGCCTGCCTGCCTGCCTGCCTGCCTGCCTGCCTGCCTGCCTGCCTGCCTGCCTGCCTGCCTGCCTGCCTGCCTGCCTGCCTGCCTGCCTGCCTGCCTGCCTGCCTGCCTGCCTGCCTGCCTGCCTGCCTGCCTGCCTGCCTGCCTGCCTGCCTGCCTGCCTGCCTGCCTGCCTGCCTGCCTGCCTGCCTGCCTGCCTGCCTGCCTGCCTGCCTGCCTGCCTGCCTGCCTGCCTGCCTGCCTGCCTGCCTGCCTGCCTGCCTGCCTGCCTGCCTGCCTGCCTGCCTGCGTGCCTGCCTGCCTGCCTGCCTGCCTGCCTGACTGCCTGCGTGCCTCTCTGCCCGTCTGCCCGCCTGCCTGCAGGGATCTCTCCCATAACGCCCTGGTTGGCTCGCTGCCTGTGTTGCCCTCGTCTCTGTTTTTCCTGTGAGTAAACTAAGAGGAGGGGTCGGCTGTGGATACTGGGCTATAGGGACTGTTCTCGTGGACTGTGCTCCGTGCCATCCTCTCTGCTCTCCTCAGCTTGCCTACCATCCTGCCACGCTTGTCCATTCGATTCAAGCAGTGCATGCTCCCTGCTTGCCTGCACAGCGCGCACGCACATGCATAACCCACTTCGCATGGACAGCCCTCCCCAATAACCCCACTGCGGTGCCCCCTTGCGTTGCCCCCATGCGTTGCCCCCATGCGTTGCCCCCCATTTCCCCATTGCTTGCTCTGGTCAGCTCGCTGAGCCACAACGCTACACTCGAGTGAAACAGATTCGGCCCTTCGCAGGGCTTTGACGGAAGTCTCGCGGCTGAAATTTCCGTCACTATTGCTTGCCTAAGCCTTCACAAAGGCTTCTCCGTAGGTTTGACGCGAATCTGACGGGAGTCTCACGAAGTGTCACAAATTTCGATCAATCAGGATTGAACACAATGTTGGGTTTTGAGTTGATCACGCACCCTTACTGAAAATATTCGCCAGAAGCGCAGCACTGTAGCTTCTGGCGCAGGGTTTCTGCCAGTTCTTTGCTCAGGACGCAGAGTTAGCTCCTTTCAACGCAGCTCGGCTCTCATTGGCCCAAGCATTCGCACTTGGCAGGCAACCATTCGCTCGACCCTGCACAGATTCTCGAAGTAAACAGTCACCTCCCAAGCTTGTCTTTCACACCAACTAGCAGCTCGTTCTGGGTGGCTCGGCATGCCACTGTTACAAAATCAGGGTTTCCAGATTCTCGCGCCCAAAACTAGGTATCACGTTCGTTACGAGCCTGGAAACAGAAACGACTTCCGTCAGGACGCTACTTGGTTTCTACCCTGACCAAATTTGGTGCTCATGTATGAGGGGCATACATATATACTCTCCTCAAGCATAATGTGTGATTTTTTAGAAGCTGATTCTCTCAAGTGCTATAACAATATTCTCCGTAGCTACTTGACTACGGTCATAATGTATGACACACGAGTATAGATTCAAACGGGCCCTATTCATGGATTATAATGCATATTTGTAACCAGCGAAGACCATTTAAGAACTGAACCTGATTTATAGAAATCTGGACTAAACATCTTTTATCCGACAGCGTTCTTGATGACCCGCCATTTTTTCAATCGTCAGTTTTTGCCACCATTTCAAAATTATTTCAAAAACTGGTCTACTATTAATTAAACTACACGTTCAATATTAAAACCTTCTTACATACACGTTAGATTGCATGGTAGTCATGCCTGCGCACCACCTACATTACCACGGCCCACTCGTCCTCATCCTCCTCACTTTGGACATGAGAAACCATGGTGCCAATCTCCTCCTCGTGGTCGCCGGGAGTATAGAGTGGGTTGGTTGACCCACCCATAGGTCCTTAATACGGTAATATTGTGTGCGTTGCTTCAATAATAGCTCGGTTCAGGGCCTAAGGTTCCACCATGCATGTCGAATTTGCGAAGAAATTTGCCAGAATTTTGTGTGGAATGACACGTTAATGTACGGTTTCCAAGAATCCACTCCAATTGTTCTGTGTTTGTGTAGCAAATGCATCATATAAATACACAAGCCGATACCGAAAAAGGTTTGAATTAAAATTACCATACTCCTTCACATTTGACACTTCATATTAATTTAGCAACATCACTACAAAAACTACGCACATCGGTTCACGATCACTCGTTACCCGAACACACTATGCACAATAGCATATAAACGACCATGGGGGTTCGAGGGTTGTTTAAGAGATGCACAAGAAGCGCTTAAGGAAAAAAGAGATGTTATGGTCGGCACTGCAGAACATCCATTGTACTGTGCACAGTCCATGAAGTGTGCTGTAGAGCAATGCGTGCAAGAAATAAGTTATCTGCCAGATTTGTGCTAGGAACAAAATAGAGGCTATCCACTAAAATGCTGTTGCTGCTCCTCTTGCCCTACTCCTGCTGCTGCTGCTGCTGCTCCTGCCTTGCTAGTTGCTCATGGTGCTGCGGTTGCGGGTGCCACTGTTGGTGCGGTTGCTGCATCTGATGTTGTTGGAGTAATTCAAATAGGTGCTGGTGATACAACCACTGTACCTGTGGGCATTGCTGCTGCTGCATCTGCTGCTGCTGCATCTGCTGCTGCTGCTGGTGATGCTGCCAGGGTTGGTGCTGCTGCTGTTGCTGGTGCCAGGGTTGCTGCAGCTGCTGATGCTGCCAGGGTTGGTGCTGCTGCTGTTGCTGGTGCCAGAGTTGCTGCAGCTGCTGCTACTACCAGGGTTGGTGCTGCTGCTGTTGCTGTTGCCAGGGTTGCTGCTGTTGTTGTTGCTGCTGCTGCTGCTGCTGCTGCTGCTGCGAGGAGTGCTGGTGCTGGGGCTGCTGCTGCTGCTGCTGCTCCTGATGCGGATGCTTCTGCTGCTGCTGCTGCCCTGCCTGCTGCTGCTGCTGCTGCTGCTGGAATGGCTGCTGCCCTGCCTGTTGCTGCTGCTGCTGCCCTGCCTGTTGCTGCTGCTCCTGCTGCTGCCCTGCTTGCTGCTGCTGCTGCCCTGCCTGCTGCTGCTGCTGCCCTGCCTGCTGCTGCTGCCCTGCCTGATGCTGCTGGTCCTGCTGCCGGTGCTGCTGCTGCCGTTGCCATAGATGAGGATGCTGACGCTGGCTCTCTGGGTGATGTTTATGTTGACGTCGCTTCAGTCTCAACAGCCCAGGGATCTGCTGCTGCTGCTGCTGCTGCTGCTGCTGCTGCTGCTGCCGCTGCTGCTGCTGCTGGAATGGCTGCTGCCCTGCCTGCTGCTGCTGCTGCTGCTGAGTGTGAGTTGGCTCTTGTGACGCCACTCCCAGGGTCTCCCGGCCTATCCGAGGTGTTGACTGAACTCCAATAGTTTCGGCACCCTCCCCAATTGGGCCTTCGCCCAATGCTGCCTGCCTCTCACCAAGGTTTCCTGACTCTGGTGCCACCTGCCTTTGCTGTCGAAGGTTCTGCATTCGTCGCAGTCGAGAACGAACAATGCTCTCTGCATTGTCTTGAGGGGCCTGTCCAGTCGTGGCATTGTTCTCGCCACTGTCTCTCTCACCGCCCCCTAACACCCTCCCTTCTCGGCCTTCAAGTCTCTTCCTCCTATTCCTCCCCTCCCTCCTGCTCTCCTCCCTGCTCATCTTCCCCTCCCCAGATTTCTTCCCCTCCCCGCCTCCACTCCCCCATCTGCTGCTCCACCACTCCCAGCCTCCACTCCCCCATCTGCTGCTCCACCACTCCCCGCCTCCACTCCCCCATCTGCTGCTCCACCACTCCCCGCCTCCACTCCCCCATCTGCTGCTCCACCACTCCCCGCCTCCACTCCCCCATCTGCTGCTCCACCATTCCCCGCCTCCACTCTCCCATCTGCTGCTCCACCACTCCCCGCCTCCAATCCCCCATCTGCTGCTCCACCACTCCCCGCCTCCACTCCGGGTCCAACCCTTCCACCTCTCCCTGTCCTTCCTCCTCTCCCTGTCCTTCCTCCTCTCCCTGTCCTTCCTCCTCTCCCTGTCCTTCCTCCTCTCCCTGTCCTTCCTCCCCTCCCTGTCCTTCCTCCCCTCCCTCTTGTGGCCTCTTGTGGTGCAGCGCTCACCTCTGCTTCATCCCTGTGAACAGCTTCATCCAATATTTCATCATCTGAGTCCTCACTAGAACAATCCGTGTCACTATCAAACTCCTCTTCCCCAACTACAGCCTCTTCATCCTCACCAGCAATCCCCTCTGTTGTGTTACCATCCGTACGCCCAATAGACTCTCTCCTTTCACGTGCACGTTTCTCCCTTAGGGCCTCACAAATAACTGCTCGATTGTGCCTGCCGTTACATGCTGTACACTGTGATAGGCTAACCGTTGCCTCAGCTTGTGTGGCTGTCTGCACACTCATGTGGCCTTCTGGTGTGTAAAGTGCTTCCCACGCTGCACTCCTTTGCTTCCGCAGATCACAAGTCTTGATATTATGGCCCTTTTCGCCACACTTGCGACACTTACGCAGCTTTCTCCCATCGATCTCACCGTGAGATCGAAGCCTCACCTCACGTGGCCTCCCTGGCTTTTTCGGATACACTGGGGGTTTGACCTCGCGGTCTGGAGTGACCTCTGTGCGATCAAGAGTTCTTATTTTGGTGCTATACAGTTCAGTCAATGCAGCAGAAGTGTAGCACCGGTGCACCATAGCCCGAACCTCTTGTTGAACAGCTACCAACTCTCTGCCACGTGCTGGTCGGCTTTCATGGATGAGCACGGCAAATATGTGTACACATGGAATGCCGTATTCTCTGCAAAAACAGCCAGGGAATGATAAGGTGCAATCAATTGAGAAAACAAACTTTATTGCTGGTCCGTAGCAACCATTGCCGTATCCTCACCATTATTGTTAATCACAGAATGTTAATAGAATATGCCAGACTCACATGGTGTAGTTGCACGTGCACACGGTCTTCTTTGGATCCTCTTGATTCTTCTCCACTACACGTTCCTCCTTAGCCCCGGTTCGGCGGCTCACATGGAAGGAGTTTGGTCCAGTCTTTTCGACAGTGTACTGCGTGCCCGTTTGACAGTTCGCCTGAATTATGGCAGCCGTTTTTTTTCGGAAAGTCACCCGCCCCTAGACTTCCATAGAGCTCACGACCTTCTTGCATCGCGGAGGCTTGACGGTTGATGAATTCAAGCAATACCTGGGCTGGATTGTCTTTCCTTAGTCCGCGCATTGATGCATGGTGTGACTCCACAGGATTTGATGTGTAGCACCCAAATCGTGCCCCACAAAACTTAAACACGGCCCACTTTGATGCCAAACCATCTTTCTCCAAGTACTCTCTCCCCCCTGGACACTCCTCCTCTATCTTCTCCATCATCCCTCGATGCACATCACGTGTCAATGCTGCAGCAGCAAGCTCAATCTTCCCATCCAGGTCAGAACCAAATTTGGAGTTGAAGTTTCGCACCAAATGCGTTACGCAAAATGCCTCACGCATCCCCGGCAATACCCTGGAGGCTGCAGCCGTCCATGCCTTGCCGCGGTCGTGCATTAATGTGAATTTCGGGTTGTCGATCTCTGGCGCCGCTTGCCTCAAGAGCTCCAAAAAATATTCGCATGACTCAGCATTCTCTCCTTCAACCCATGCACTTCCCAGCCTCACCAACTTGTGCTCACAATCCACCATACATGCGTTAAGGGTATGACCACGCCACGTCCCCTTGTTGTGACAACCGTCAACAAAAATAATGGGGAGACAATTTCTGACACATTCCAAAACACCCGGATACACCAATCCCGCCCAAAAGAACATGCTATCCTGTAGCTTTCATGAAATGACACTGGTTGGGTTTTTCACCTTGAATTCACTCAGGATACTACCTATCTACCGGAAACCAACATCTCCAGCAAGTTGGTCCTCAGACACAACAGCGTCAATTGACCTATCACATGTCGAATAGCAGCATTTTTTTCCCAAACGCTCCTGCACAATAACCCTGAGGCCGTGAGGCTTAATGTCACCAAGAGGAAGCAACTCACGCACAACTTCCTTAACCTCCCCTCTCCTAACCGGGTTTGGACGAGGCACACACATGCTTGCATGTTGAAGACTTGCATTTTTCACAATAAGACAGCCACCTCGGAGACCCGTAGCTTTGATCCTAAACGGGCAAAAACCGTCGAACGCCTTAGCCTCATCTAGGGGCCACTCTTTGTTTTGCATGGAATGACAACGCATTTCCAAACGATCTGCCCTGTTTTGGAACCAGTATGTTCCAAATTTCTCTTTGTCGACATGCTTTAAGATCTCCGCTCGGGCAACGCTCACAGATGAGAAGACTGTCCCCTCTTGTATGGCGACCTCCTCATTACGTTGGCCCAAAAAAGCACTGTCAGGAACCATGCATCGATATGGCAATTGGCATCATAATTGCATACAAAATTAGCAATAAACACCAGACCTAAACTGAACCACGTAAACTAATGTGTGCGAGTGGAAGGTCAATCGTAACATGAATAATAGAGGTGCCTAAAACGAGACTGAACATTTTGAAACTGTATGATGCTTATGATACTGAATGGAAAACGAAATAGTATAAAGGTAGGGCGGATGGAAAAGCTGGGAATTGGTAAGGAGGGTGTCTAAACAGTGTAGACGGAAGTAAATCAGTATTTACATGTGGCGCTACCTAATAATAGTGAACGGAAACGAGGAACTGGAGATTGAGCAAATGAGAATAGACGATAGTTAAGTATGAACGGAGAACCAAACGTAAGGGGAGATTGATGAGTATGAAAAAACTATGAGAAGCAAGGGCGGACAATGAGGGAGACGCCTGTGAAATGCAGAGGGGAGCGATTAGTAGAAGTAAAGCTTGCATAGTACTTTGAAACTGGCATTTGTGCAGAATGCGCTACAAAGCTGATGGTACAACCTAGTATCACCTAGGATCTGGAGATGGCGATCCTCATAAAGGCCGAAATCCACGGGTTCCATTAAGTCGTAGCCAGGGATGCAATGCAGACTAAGAAGAAAAACACGCATAGAAGCTATAACAACTAATCGGGACTTGGTGTTTGCAAACCCTAATCTGTGCGTGTGACTCTGATTTGCGTCAAGTACTTGGTGTTCATGCTCGTAGTCTGCAGCAGGTTGCTCACATGGTGATGCAAAACCAAGTAGCATCTTGACGGAAGTCGTTTCTGTTTCCAGGCTCGTAACGAACGTGATACCTAGTTTTGGGCGCGAGAATCTGGAAACCCTGATTTTGTAATAGTGGCATGCCGAGCCACCCAGAACGAGCTGCTAGTTGGTGTGAAAGGCAAGCTTGGGAGGTGACTGTTTACTTCGAGAATCTATGCAGGGTCGAGCGAATGGTTGCCTGCCAAGTGCGAATGTTTGGGCCAATGAGAGCCGAGCTGCGTTGAAAGGAGCTAACTCCGCGTCCTGAGCAAAGAACAGGCAGAAACCCTGCGCCAGAAGCTACAGTGCTGCGCTTCTGGCGAATATTTTCAGTAAGGGTGCGTGATCAACTCAAAACCCCACAATGTTTGAAGCGAGAGAATTTCAAAGTGTTACTTCAACAACCTGGTACAACAAATATATAGGTTCAAGCAAGGTACACAAATGAGCTAGGTAACCAAACGTGTTCAACACGTTACACCGCGCCTCGTTTCATCCCGCGTCGCACACGCAACCTTTTCCACCTTCGTCGAACGTCCCCCAAGTCCGAAAAACGGAAACTTGTTGAACATGCCTCGAGTTCCTTGTTGAACACTCAACTTCCCAACCAATCAAACCTTCCCGTCAATTCCTTTCCCGTCACTTCTCCTTCACTCCCATTTCTTCCTCACGTTTCTTCTCCTTTCCCCATAACGTAGCACACACGCATAGTAATCTTAGATGCTTCTTAGTATTTTCTTCTTGCTTCTTCCACACGCCACTGCCATGAAGTCCCCGTCGGTCCAGATTTTCAGCCGTCGTTAGTCCGCCTGCCGTCGTTGGTGTGGTTCGCGGAAACCACTCCAACACCCACCTCCCATCCCTTATGCTCTGTCCTCCCTCCCCATCTCTCCTCCCTTCCTCTCCATCCTTCCTCCCCATCGTTTCCCCCGTCTCCTTCCCCTCGTTCCCCCCTCACTCGTTCCCCTCGTTCCCCCCTCTGCTTCCCCTTCGTTTCCCCCTTCCCTTCCCCTCATTTTTTTGTGCTTCCCTTCCGGTTTCCCCTTCTGCTTTCTTTATTCCTACCCCCTCATTGCCCCCTGCTTCCCCTCATTTTCCCCCATCTTTCTATCTCCCTCGTTTCCCTCCCTTCTCCATTTCTCCCCTGCTTGCCCTCAGGTGAGCCCCTCATTCCCTTCCGTTTCCCTCTTGCTTGCCCTCTCAGTTTCCTTGCTGCTTGTCCTCAGTTTTGCCTTTGCCTTCCATCAGTTTCCCCCGGCTTCCACTCCATCACTCCCCTGCGTTCCCTTACTTCCCTGTTTCCATTTTCCATGTCCAGTCCTTCCTCTCGTATTCCATTTTCCAGGTCATACCTCCTGCTCCAGCCGCTCCTGTCATGCCATCCTCTCTGCATCTCCTTCTCAATGCTTAGCGGCTTGAATTATCGTTGTCCTCTCACCACGCACGTTATTTCAAACGCCCTACATTGTCTCACCTCCTTACGTTGTAACAACACCCTTCACTACCACCCTCCATTATTCATTATCCCTCCCTCCCAGCACCACACATCCTCTCAACACTCCACATCCTTCCATTCACATCTACTGCCTTTTGGCCAGATCTACCTGCCCCAGTCCTCGCCTCCCTGCGTTCATACCCTACGCTCATATGTTTTGCCGTCCCTCCCGTCCTCTCTTGTCTGACATGAAGGCAGTCCCCTGCTTATACACGAGAGAGGATAGTCACTCATTTTTCACTGTTACGTTCAATGAACTTCTGAGCCCTAATTAGAATGTGCCACTATGATCCTTGAATATATGCAGTAGATGCTTGCATGCAGTAACATAATGCAGTACCATCTCCCGACCATGCTATGGCACTACGGTATTATGTCGATTTTACAAGGTGAGCATCCTGATTGTTCATCCATTGATGGATCAGAAACCGGAACAGACGCCAAGCTAAGCTCTCAACAGAGCATGTATTATGTGATTTTGACGAGGGAGCATGCCACGTGCTATACACCTCCCACCTCCACTCCTCCATTCCTTCCTTCCCAATCCAGTCTTGCTTGCGTGCCTTCCAACGTGCTCCACCTCCAGCTGCTACCTGCAGATGCCATGATGCCATGCCATGCCCTACCACATCATGCCCTGCCACACCATGCCAAGGACGCTTAGGTAGGGGAGACGGAACAGGGACTGGAGAATTTACAACGAAGGAAGATTGCCCAGTGTTTTCGGGGTAAATAGGATATTTACGGGAGTAAATACAGAGGTTTGGAGAGAGGACAGATATGGGAGATAAGGAAGGGAGGGGAGGTTGCAGTGAGAGGGGAACAATGACAGGGAGGGGAGAAATGATAGGGAGGGGATAAATATCCGGGTTTAGGGTGAAAAAACATAGAGGGGAGAGATGAAAGACGGTGGAGAGATAACAGGGAGGGGAGAGATGACAGGGAGGGGAGAGATAACAGGGAGTGGAGAGATGATAGGGAGGGGAGAGATGATAGGGAGGGGAGAAGCTGCCTCTGTGAGAGGAAATGACGGGGAAGGGAGGTAGGACAGAGAGAGAGGGAATGATGGGGGAGGGAGGGAAGAGCTGCGACAGCGGGAAGAGGGGGGAGAGATGACATCGATGGAAGCCCCGTCATTGGGGAGATCCATTGGGGTTGGGAGGGAATGGAGAGAGAGTGAACGAGCGAGTGGCAAGAGGGATTTCCCAGGGGTATAGCAGAGGGGAGCGATGGGTGTAAGGGAGAGAGGGTAAAGAGATGGGAGTAAGGGAGAGAGTAGTAAGGGCAGAGAAGGGAGTAAGGGTTATTTCATGCCTTCTTGCTGCTTATTTCCTCTCCCCCCCCCCCCTCGCCTTCTCGCTCCCAGCCGCCCCCCAACCCCCCCTTGCGTTTCTCGTTGCCAGACCCCCCCTGCTTTCTCTCTAATTATTCCCCTCATCCTTCTCGCTGCTGACCTCCCTCGCTAATCGCTGCTTACACCCTCATGCTTTCTCGCCCCATCCCCCTTGCACCTCTGCGTTATCGCTGCTCATTCCCGTCCGCGCCTCACGCCTCCTCGCTACACATTCCGGTTCCCGTTACGTTTTCCCCACATCTCAATCCCGGACAGCGGTGGGAGAGAGGGGAGTTTGCCTGTGGAAAGGGAGGGAGGTGAGGGGATGGAGGGCAGGCAAGGGTGAGGGGGCAGGGAGGGCCAAGAGGAAAAGAGTTGTTGGAGTAGGCTAGAGCTCGCTCTGGCATTTATCATGGTGTTCTTTTGTTATTTTGCCATGTTTAGAGCGAGTTACACTTCCGGTTCACTTTAGGTTCATTTCTTAGTTTCTAGCACAAAGTGAACACACCCTAAGTTCACTTAGGGTTTCCTACATTTGTATCTTGACACTTTTCCTAGTCAATCTCTTCGACTACTATCTCTAGCTATGGCCCTAAGTCCTATCATAACATGGTATCTAGAGCCTAATCCTAGGCAATTCTTCTTCATTCACATCTCTTAATGATGCTTAAACTCTTAAGCACCCTAGGCACTCGCGAAATTCCAGATTTCTATCATCTTGACTTTTTTTTACTTTTTTTTTAAGTCGCGGATTTCCCCTTAGGCAGCTGCGCGACCCCTCAACGCGGTCGCGGACCCCCCCTAGCCACCTCTCACGAACGTCGCACGCCCTGCGCAGTCGATGCGCGCGCCCTGCCCCGTCGACGCGTGCGCCCTGACTCGTCGTTGCGCGCGTCCTGCTTTCGCCGTCGTGCCACCTGCCCCATGCCCGCGCGCGCTCTGCCTCATCTCTGCGCGCGCCTTCCCCCATCGTCGAGCCCCCCCCTGCCCTCTGGTCGCGGCCGTCCCGCCCCGCGTGGCCGACCTTCCCTATCCCCTCGCGAGCGCCCTCCCTTTCTTTCTCGCGGGTGCCCAGCCTCTTCTCCTCCCGGGCGCCCGCGCGCCTCTTCGTGGTGCGCCTTCCCAGACTCTCGCGCCCCACACTCACCCTATCCGCCCACCGCATCCGCCTCTCTTCTCTCCTCCCGCTCCTTCTTGCCTTTCCTCCTCACCTCCTGCTTCCCCTCTGCATCTACTGCAGCTGGCTGCCACCTCGCACCCGTGCTCATCCGTTGTCCCCGCATTCCGCCCCTTCACCTCCCTCCTCTCCTCTCTCTCTGTTTCCCACCACTATCTCACCTCTTCCTCCTCCTCCTTTCTCTCCTCATCTGCTGCAGCTAGTAGCTAATTGTGGCCCCCCTTGCCTTTCCGTCAAGTCCCCGCCCTTCCCACAATCCGCCCCTTCACCATCCTCCTCCTCTCCTCTCTCCCTCCAGTTTCCCCTCCACTATCTCACCCCTTCCTCCACCTCTTCCCTCTCCTCATCTGCTGCAGCTGGCAGCTGATTGTGTCTTGTAGCTGTTGCTCTTCCACACCTTTCCTCCTCCTCAATATTCTCCCCTCAGCGGCGCAGCAGCAGACTACTCCGCCGTTATCCCTCCTCCTCTTGTTTCTCCCCTCAGCGGCGCAGCAGCAGACTACTCCGCCGTTATCCCTCCTCCTCTTGTTTCTCCCCTCAGCGGCGCAGCAGCAGACTACTCCATCGTTATCCCTCCTCCTCTTGTTTCTCCCCTCAGCGGCGCAGCAGCAGACTTCTCCATCGTTATCCCTCCTCCTCTTGTTTCTCCCCTCAGCGGCGCAGCAGCAGACTACTCCATCGTTATCCCTCCTCCTCGTGTTTCTCCCCTCAGCGGCGCAGCAGCAGACTACTTCGCCCCTTTCCTCCTCCTCATGTATCTCCCACCAACGGCTCAGCAGCTGACTACTTCACCCATATTCCTCCTCCTCTTTTGTCTCCCCACATCTGCTCCGTTGAAATCCCCTCCCACTAATGGCGCCTATTCTCGCCCTTTCCTCTCTTCCTCTGCTCTTCCGCCCTCATCCTCCTTCTACCGTACCTCCTCTCCTACCCTTGCCTCTCCTACTCCCCGCTCCCTTCGCTGCCCCTTCCTCCCCTTGCACCTCTCCTCCTTGCCGCTGGACCTCCCCTCTTCTCCACTCCTCTGCTTGGATTCCGCTGTCCCATCAGCCTCGCCACTCTTCTGCCGCTGTAACCTCTGGCATTGGTTCTCTGGTCTCTGTCTTCAGTGTGACCATGCCATCTCAGGATAGCATCCTTGGTGCTTCTCATCTTATGGACCCTCGCTTTCTCGTTCCATTTTCTCCACCCCTTCAAAGCATTGCTTCTCACTCTCTCAGCCCTACGGCTGCCGCTCTCTCACTTCCTCGCACCTTGGATTTTGTCCTTGACAGTGCTGCTACTGACTCTGTCTTTCGTGATGCCGGTATCCTTCGCAATTTTCCTCGACCCCTCTCTATTGATGGGGCTGGAGAGACCATGACCATGATTTGCACTGGCACTTCCTCTCTTCCCTGTCCTGCCTCTCCCTCTGGCGCTGTTACTGGACTTTATGTTCCCTCTTGCCGTCATAACCTCCTATCCCTCCCTGCCCTCCAACGCCTGGGTGTGCGAGTTCTCTTCCCCGCAGGTGCACTTTATTGTGATCTTCATTACCACGACCGGCACCTTGCTCGTTTCACCCTTTCTCCTACTACTCGCCTCTACACCCTTCGTGTTCCCATCCCCTCATCTGTCAATCACACTACCTCTACGTTTGCCCCTCCCGTCTCCTCCTGCGACTATCACTCTCTTACCCAACCTACCCTTCTTCTCCATCATCGCCTTGGCCACCCCAACTTCCCTCTCCTTCGCAGCATGGTCAATTCGAAGCTGCTTCATGATCTCCCTTCCTCTCTCCCGCCCCTTCCTCCTTCTCCCGCTCCTCCATGCACCCCTTGTGTTCAAGCCAAGCTCTCCCTATCTCCTCATCCTTCTTCCCCTTCTGCCTCCCCCAAACCCCTTGATGTTGTGCATATGGACCTCTGGGGTCCCTCTCCCATTGCCTCCCGTCAGGGTCATCGTTACTTTCTCCTTCTTGTCGATGACCATTCTCGTTTTGCCACTGTCTATCCCCTCCATGCCAAATCTGACGCCCCCTCCCTCATCATTCGCTGGGCTGAGCAGGCGCGCCTTCGCTTTGGCCGTCCTGTCGCACGCCTCCACTCTGATGGTGGTGGCGAGTTCTTTAACCACTCTCTCTCTTCTTACTGCTCCTCTCATGGCATTCGTCAAACCTCCACCCTTCCGCATTCTCCCGAACAGAATGGCGTTGCTGAGCGTCGTATTCGCACTCTCATGGAGATCACCCGTTGTCTCCTTACTCATGCCTCTGCTCCACACTCTCTTTGGAGCTACGCTGTTGTTCATGCCACTCTTCTTTCCAACCTTCGCCCTCATCCCCTTCGCCCTTCCATTACACCCTTCCAACTCTGGACTGGCCGCCAGCCCTCCGCCCGCCCTCTTCGGGTGTGGGGCTGTGTCGCTCATGTCCTCATCAATCCCGCCGATCGAGCACGTCAGGGTGGGAAGCTCGCTCCCAAGACCCAACTCTGTGCGTTCATTGGCATCAACGCTGACTGTCCTGGTTAACTTTTCTATGCTCCCTTCTCTCAACAGCTCATTCAAGCCAGGATGTTATCTTTGATGAAACTCGTTCTCCGTTCCTCCCCCCCCCTCCCACCCCTCCTCCGCCCTCTCTTCATTGGTCTGACTTTGATCCACTGCCCTTTACTGCTCCCTCTCCTTCTCCCCTTCCTCCTGCCCCTGCTCCGCCTCCCCTCCCTGCCCCCTCCACCCCCCCCTTCTGCTGTCATCTCCGGCACCTCTCCTCGTGCCTCTTCCTCTTCCGCTCCCATGCCCTCTCCTTCACAACCTCCTTCTGCTACCATTCCTTCTGCTCCTGCTCCTCCGCCTTCTCCACGTCTCACCCGCTCCATGACCCATGCAATGTCCAATTTTCAACACTCTGCTCTCTTTACTCGTCTCTCTCCCTCTCCAAACGTTGATCTTCTTGAGTATCGATTTGAAGAGTTGTTCACTGTTCATCCCGTTTCACCCCTCCTCTGTGTCACCATTGACGCCGAGTGTGAGGCATTCACCAGAACTCACTCTTACGTTGACTCTGTTCCCCCCCCTGGCGCCACCACTGTTAAGGGCAAATGGGTCTTTCGTGTCAAACAGCTGCCTGGGGAGCTCCCTGTCTTCAAAGCTCGTTAGTGCGCCAAAGGTTTCACCCAACGTGAAGGCATTGACTACTTTGCCACTTACTCCCCCACTGCCCGCCTCCCCACTCTCCGCCTTCTTCTTGATCTAGGTGCCCGCTGGGATTGGGAGATTCACTCTATGGATGTCTCCAATGCCTTTCTCCAGGGCGAGCTTCATGAACGCATTTTTCTTGAGCGCCCCGCTGGCTTTCCTCGCCCTTTCCCTCCAGGCACTGTCTGGGAGCTGAAGCGCCCAATGTATGGTCTTAAGCAGGCCCCGCGCGAGTGGCATGCTAAGCTCGCCTCCACTCTTCACTCTCTTGGCTTCTCCACCTCCACTTCCGACCCAAGTCTCTTCATTCGCACTTCCCCCCACAGGATTTACATTCTTGCTTACGTCAATGACTTGGAGCTCCTCGCTGAAGATTCTGCCGACCTTGCCTCTGTCAAGCAAGCCCTTCAGGCGCGTCTCCTGTGCAAGGAACTTGGCGAGCTTCGTCATTACCTCGGCATGGAGATCCGTCGTGATCGTGCTGCGCGCACCATCTCTCTATCTCAATCTTTCTACATCCACTCCATTCTTGAGCGCTTTGAAATGTCGCAGGCCAAGCCAGTTTCCACCCCTCTTCCCGCTAACCATCAGCTTACTGCCCCTGCCATTCCCGCTCCCTCCTCAAAACTGCGACCATATCATGAGCTTGTTGGGTCACTCATGTATGCTATGATGTGCATTCGCCCCGATCTTGCTTACCCCCTCAGTGTCCTCTCTCGTTTTGTTGGCCTTGGTCGCCACACTGACGTGCACTGGGCTGCTGCCAAGCGCGTTCTCCGCTATCTCCGCGCTACCCTCTTGCACTCACTCTTGGTGGCTCTTCTCCCCCCGTTCTTTCCGGTTGCAGTAATTCCTCCTACGCTGATTCTCGCCCTGATCGCCGCTCCTCTCAGGGTTATGGTTTTACTCTTGGCAGTGGTCTCATCAGCTGGCGCTCCACTCGTTCATCCTCTGTCTGCCTTTCCACCTGTGAGGCTGAGTTGTACGCAGGCACATTGGCGGCTCAGGAGGCTCGCTGGCTCTTGTTTCTCCTTGCCGAGCTTGGTCACTCTCAGCCCTCTGTGACGCTCTCCTGTGACAGTGCGAGCATGATTCACCTCACTGAAAATCCTGTCTATCACGCTCGCAGCAAGCACATCCAAGTCCGCTACTTTTTCGTGCGCGAGCTTGTGCAGTCTGGCTTCGTCTGCCTTCGCAAGGTAGCCGCTATTGCCAACCTTGCTGACATTTTCACCAAGGCTCTCCTTCGTGCGCCACACCGTTTCTACGTGCGCGCGCTTGGGCTCACTCGTCTCGCCACTTCTGGGGGTGTTCCGATTCGCTAGGTGTTTTGTTCCATAGCTTCACCTAGCCTGGGGGTGTGTTGGAGTAGGCTAGAGCTCGCTCTGGCATTTATCATGGTGTTCTTTTGTTATTTCGCCATGTTTAGAGCGAGTTACACTTCTGGTTCACTTTAGGTTCATTTCTTAGTTTCTAGCACAAACTGAACACACCCTAAGTTCACTTAGGGTTTCCTACATTTGTATCTCGGCACTTTTCCTAGTCAATCTCTTCGACTACTATCTCTAGCTATGGCCCCAAGTCCTATCATAACAAGAGTAACCGAGAGAAACGGGTGTAGAAGAGGGGAGTAAGGGAGAGAAAGGGGTATGGAAGAGGGGATAAGGGAGAGAAAGGTGTATAGCAGGGGAGTAAGGGAGAGAAAGGGGTAGCACACCGTTGTACGCAGCAAGTCGTCGCTCCGCACACCGTGGTGTGCGGCAAGTCGCCACCTTGCACACCGTCGCGCGCGGCTGGTCGCCATTCCGCACACCGTCGCGCGCGGTTGGTCGCCATTCCGCACACCGTCGCGCGCGGTTGGTCGCCATTCCACACACCGTCGCGCGCGGCTGGTCGCCACTCCACACACCGTCGCGCGCGGCTGGTCGCCATTCCGCACACCGTCACGCGCGGCTGGTCGCCATTCCGCACATCGTCGCGCGCGGTTGGTCGCCATCATACGCACATAATCGCATGCGTAAGTTCCCAGCAAGCCGCTAGCACGACGATCAACGTTCGAGATCCGCCATTCGTCATTTTGCAAGTCGCCGATCGTTGCACATATGTGGCTACGGAGCGGAACCGCTTTGCTGCGATTGGCGGCGGCCTCGGATGGCTAGCGATCGCTTGGACGAGAAAACGACAACACGC